GTATCCCACTCTAAGCCACCCATTCCCTTTGATAACTGTTGTTCCGCCGTATGAAGTGGAGGGGGTACAGGGGGTACGTGACCAAGGTTAAGTTCATGCTTTGCGGCAGCGTCCACAGCGACCAGCTGTCTGCTACCCTCCTATCGTGCCATACTCTCCACTCCCGGACGCTGATAGACGCCGATGGACGCGGGCAGACGATATATCAGTACCTACACTTCCCTAGACCTTCAGGCGATGGTGGACGGTAGATGCTTTCCGACGCTGGCGACACTGGTGGACGGTATATCGATATCTATACTTTCCTAGTCGCTGACGCTGCCGGACGCTCCGAACGCTGGTGGACGCTATTGGTCGCTATTGGACACTGCCGCAAAATATGAACGCAGCCTAACCGAGTTGCTCGACCGGACGCCAGTAACGTCTCATCCCTGCTACAAGCTAGAGTTGCCCAATAGGTTCTCTGCGCTTGAGGGACAGATGAACATCATACCATTTGTTCAGAGCTCTCAGAAAAAAAATCGTCTTCCTGTCAACGCTGCGACTGACTGCGACGTTAACAACTATGTCAGTTTTACTATCTCATGAAGAAATGCATCTTCAGTCTTTAAAAGGAGAAACCGAAGTGCATCCAAGGCTACTAGACAACTTTCCCGAGAAGAAAGTGCAGTGACTTCTCCTTATTTGCTGAAATTTCTTCTCTGAGGACATCTCTATTCTGTCTCCTCATCAAGTGTTGTCTCATGCAGTATAGTGAAAATAAATTAGAAAACAGAATAGCTAGAAGTGCTACGCTCAGCCCACTCACCACTAGATTGAGAACCACCCGGATTTTATCGAGCCCAACCTGCCATGTTGGGCTTAGTTGATTGGCGACGAAGTCAAGCTGCTGAAAGATACACAGTGTGAAGAGTCTCATTAACACCCTACGAACAACGAGTTCTCGACGAGTCACCTTCTGGAAGTTTTCCTGTGTTCCGACAGTGGAAAGGCCGCTCAGCATGAGCACAATGTCTCGATTGCATGGATTCGCAGCTAGAATAAGACATTGAAGCACAAGTACACGACTGTAGCTCAACGTTCATTGAATTGTTCTAGGGGATCGCTCTCGAATTCTCTCATATTGACCCACTGCTCTAATGGCTAACTTTGTGAGTCTGAAATCCATAAGCGACTTAGGGAACTTTCCATGTAATAATATAGTGAAACTCGATGCGCATATAACGGGCCCAAAAGCAGGGTCGAGCTTACGTCGCGAAACTCACGACGTGAATGGAAGGACAAGTGTGTAGCTTATTCCATAGAGCCGTTTATCAGCACCTTTGTCCCTTAATTCCTATCTATCACAAGTGCAAAGGGGTGTGTTGGAAGTCTTCCGAAGTATCGAAAGGGAATGAAGGCTGTATAGTTGGGGCACCATAACAATGCAGGGAGGGGGAGGGAAAAACTCACCGTGCGGTGCGCGCACGCAGTCTGCGCGGCGGTGGTGTGGCGAAAGATTGTACACTTACAACAAGAGACGCTGCCATCAGTGCGATTTGATGGACTGCCTGTTTATTAGCCCATATTCGTCTCTAGTCGGTAGCGTCGCCAAGGTGCATTAATGGTTGGCGATTTTGGTAGAGTCCGTACGACCCCTCGCATGGTTCCCTCCTCTGGTATGATCGAGCTGTAACCTTGGAGGGGAGGCGGGGATCCAACTGTACTGTTGTCGCCTGCCGACGTCAACAGTGGGTGGAGAACGCTCCAAACCGCGATCTTCTGACATGGCCCAGCATGAGCAGCTAAGGAGACTGAATATGTATGTTTCAGGTTTACGCGAAGCCACAGCTAGCAAAATGTGGTGTTGTAGGTATGCTTCTCGTTCGAACAAAAGAGTAAAGAATTGATTCGGAACAAAGACTTGAATCTCAGACGGTCTCAGAAATGGCGGCACTCACTGAAAACAGACTCGTAGACGAACTGGAATCCAGTTTTCTGGATGACGGGATCTGTTTGAAAGGTAACGAGAGCATAGCGTTGTGTAGTGAAATACAATCCATTAGGAGTCGTAACTGTGGCATTAGGGCCACCGATTCTGAAAGATCCAAGATGCGAAGCTCTGTTACAATGAAGAACAAATGGATAGTATTCTGAAGTAACAAAGCGTTTCAGAGCCTTCATCAAGGTTCATTTTCGGGACTTTTCATCTGTATTCCTTTATTTATTGCACCCAGAAAGCCCGTCACAATAAAGGCAGGTGAGTAAGATCGCAGAGAACGTCTAAACGAAAAAATCAAACAAGAAGCTCAGTAGTAATGACTGAAATACCACATTAGATTAAGAGGGACACCAATAAGTCAAGCGGTCCACATGACTGCTCTGGTGAGCAATTGAAACCCAAGAAAACGGAGAATATTATGGCGGTAGAATCGATGCACCTGGAT